AGCAGCTCGTTCAGCACCTCCTCGGGCAGCCACCTCTCGAGGGCGTCCAAGAGACGAGGCGAGGCGAGGCGAGGCGAGGCGAGGCGAGGCGAGGCGAGCGCGCAGTGCCGCGGGAGGGCGGGGGGCCCTTTGGGGGCTGCGCGGGGGGGGGGGGGGGCCATGCGGGAGCGTCCAAGAGGGGGGCTTCTGCCAATCATGGCCAGAGGCGCGTGAGTGGAATTGGGCGCGGGGCGGGAGGGGGGGACGACAGCAGAAAAGGGGCCACGAGATCTGGGAAGATGTCATGGCCCTGGCCATGCTATCCCCACCCCCCCACCTAGTCATCAGCCCCCCCTTGGCCGCACCCGAGCCTCCCCAAAGAACCGGGCGACGCAAGAGAAAACAGAATTACCAGAAACGTACCCAACCCTTTCTCCATGTGCGGCGACTATCAAAAGAAGTGTTCCTGAAAGGACACATTGAGCGATACGCAGCACTCTTGCCCATGAAAATATCTACAGTTGCGCAGTCGGCAGTCTCGCCGAAACCCACTCTGCTGGGTCTATCAGGAGCTGGAGAAAGCGGGGACAATGGCAACAAACTGGGACAGCGATTTGCGTCAATAAACCGTCGCAGGCACGACACGTCAGACACACCAAACAGGGACACCAATTTGCGTCAGTAAACCGTCGAAAAAAGCACTAACGTCAGTAAGCTCAGCATAGAACAGCACCGAAGGATACAGCATGGCATAGAACAGCATGGTGCAACCAATGTGATGCGACTTAAGAGCGCACCGCACTGGTTGCATTCCGGAGATTGCCCCGCGTTGCTTGTCGCTGCGCGAGAGGGAGGGGAGGGAGAGAGTGCGAGAGAGACGGAGAGCGCGAGAGAGAGAGACGCAGAGCGAGAGGGGCAGAGGCAGACACAGAGGGAGAGGAGGGCCTCACGGCCCGCCGGTAGCCCCTGCAGATGGCCCGCTCGGCCGCCGCGGGGCTCCGCAGTGCGTTCCAGCAGAACTCGTCCTCCTCGTCGCGCACGGCGGCGAAGAAGTCCTCCCACGGGGCGGCGCGCGCGGAGAGAGGAGCGCCGCGGCACGAGGCAGCCGCCCCGCGGCGCCGCGGAACCGGGGGCCATCTCTCGCGGGTCGCTCTGGGGCGCCCGGCGGAGGTGGCGCGGGGAGGCGGGGCCGAGGGCTCCCGTCGCGGGTGGCTTCCGGCGGCGGGGTGATCTTGCCAGGAGGCCACGTGCGAGCCCTGACCCCACCACCCAAGCGATCCCTCCGAGGGGCGAGGCGGGCGGTCCTCTCGCTCGGGAGGCCCCGAGCGAGGGGAACCCCGCCTCCCCCCCCTCGGAAAAATCGTGGGGTGGGCCTGTTTCCCACCACCACCACCAGGAGTAGGAGGGGGATGGGGGTCCTCCTCCTCCTCCTCCTCCTCCTCCTCCTCCTCCTCCTCCTCCTCCTCCTCGTCCTCGTCCTCCACCTCCTTCCCCCCTCCAACTCATGGTGGTGGTGGTGGAAAACTAGACCCTCATCGTTGGGTGGTGGGGTCAGGGCTCGCACGTGGCCTCCTGCCTGTTGGCGAGCTCGGGCCTCATGCCACGGCCGGGGAGCTCTCGTCGCCACGGCCAGGGCTCTCTCTTCTGAGGGGGGGTCCGGCCGGAGCGCACCCCCCCCCAGGAAAGAGAGAGGTCCGTGGAGCGACGCGGCGGTGACGGAGAACTTTTGCGGACACGGACACGCGTTCGCGTCGCGAAAACGAATACGACGGCCAGTTTGTCGCCATGTTCGGGCGGCTGGGGGGTGACCCAAATGGGGGGTGCAGGAGAGGGCCCCGTCAGTGCCCTTTGCTTCACCCCCCATTTGGCCTACCCCCAATTACCACCCGCCCGACATTGTCGGCCCTCGCCAGGCCCCGGGATCGTCAAAAGAACGGCTCGGGATGAAAAAAAACGATCCCCAGGAGAGGTCCAGACCTCTGCAGGTCCACGTCATGAAAAAAAATGGGCGTCGGGGGGGTCTGGGGGGGGGGGGGGGGCGGCCCCTCCGAAGGAGGCGGGAGGGGGCTTCCGAGAGAAGACTGGAGGCTTCGTGGAGGCTCTCCTGGCTTCTAAGAAGCCTTCTTGGAAGCCTCCAGTCCGAGAAGACCCCTGCCTTTTTTTTCGGGTAGAGGATCGACTGCAGAATTGCTTTACCCTGGAGTTGCTTGTTCTCGCCGAATTTGCGAAGCATGCGTGGAATGCTCATGGATCCACGGAGCACGCCACGCCTTTCTCGCAAACTCGACGAACAAATCAATTGAAGGGGCCCCAGGACACACAAATAAATACACACAAATAAAAATATTCCTCATATTTTCCAATATTTTCTGGGTTTCTGTCTTCCCCCCCACTTCCCATATTTTCCCATATTTTCCTGGGAGTCGACGATTAATTGTGTCTGTGTTTCTTTCCCTCCTGATCAATTTCGGGGGTATCAGTTCTGCAGTCGATCCCCTGCTCGACTGTCAAAAGAAGTCCGCCGTCGGGGGGAGGGCTGAACCCTTCGGTGGAAACTCCATGGGAGCCTCCCATACCATCTTGTCTGCTCTTGCGAATCGACGCTCATCGACGCTAAATCGGCGCTCATCGACGCGAAATCGACGCTAATCGACGCTGACCGACCCTAAATCGGCGCTATCTCATCGACTCCCAGACGCTACTCGACGCGAACCGACGCCAACGACGGAATTAAGAGGGTGTACCAAGCTCCCGTGATTTGCTACCGAAGCCCCCCCCCGTCAGGGGGGGGGGGGGGGGGGCAGAACCCCCGCGCGCGAAACACCATTTTTTCAGCAACAACGAGATTCAGAGGGACCAACAAACTGGCGGGCGCAGGCCCGGGAAAAAGCTGCAGGCCTGCGACGCCCTCGATCCTCGAGCAGAATATGTCGATCGTCGCCTCGGCACGGTGGGGGTTCTCGTACAGGCGCCCAGGGACACACACAAACAAGTACACACAAATCCTAGGATTGGCCATAGTTTCCCGTATTTCCGGGGTTCTCGTGTTCCCCCCACACTTCCCATGTTTCCCCATTTTCTTCTGGGAGTCGACGATGACTTGTGTTTGTGTTGCTTCCCCTCCTGATCTTAGGAGGCAACTCCTGGGAGGTCTTCGCCGGAAGGACAAGAGAGAACGAAGCCCCATTGTGGGCTGCTACGCCGGATTAGGCCGCGGACTCAGCGAGACCGACAGGGATTAAGCGGGATCAAGCCGGACCGAGCGGGATCAAGCCGGATCAAGCCAGAAATCGGACCAGGGCAAAATCAGAATCTGACCTCTCAAGAATTGCATCGTAAGGTGGGAGCTCAATCAACCTCCAGGCCCCGCCGTCTTCGAAGGCCGCCCCCCTCATCCCCTCGTGATGCGACAGCCGGCTTCGTGCTTTTGTTCACACAGCGTGACTCCTTGAAGGTCGGCACCTCTTCCAAGGGACCGACTTCTCACCCCGAATCTTTTTTGGGGGGGACCCGAGGCCCATGGAGGGCCACAGGAGACCGAACATCTAAAAAACCCAAACAAACAAAAAAGGGAAACATTAAAAGAATTATACATATATATATACACCTCTGTCCATTCTAAATTGGCCCAGTGACACTGCGAAGCAGACGTGAATAGCTTTTCCAACATGCATCAGGCGAGCACTGCAAAACATTCCTTCCGAAGCTTGCACATCGATTGCAAAAAACGCTGAGGAAAACGCAAAGGCCTTGGCACAACTGCACCCCAAGGGAGGGTGAAACAGGGAGGGAGACTTGAGCGAGATGGTTACAGACCAACAAGCGGGCCACACCGAATTGAGAGATATAACAATCAAAGATTATAAACACCTCTGTCCATTCTAAATTGGCCCAGTGACACTGCGAAGCAGACGTGAATAGCTTTTCCAACATGCATCAGGCGAGCACTGCAAAACATTCCTTCCGAAGCTTGCACATCGATTGCAAAAAACGCTGAGAAAAACGCAAAGGCCTTGGCACAACTGCACCCATACCGACATTGATTACTGGAGGGCCTCTTGGAAACACTGAAAAATGGAGGCCTCCGCTGCTGCAGCTCGTCTTGCGAGCTCTGGCGGGAGGCGAGCAGCCTGAAGCAAGAGGCGGCCGCTCTTCTCATATCGTTTCACAGACTTGGGATGAGCCCACCTGCCACGCTTCTGCACCATGCTCAGGCTGCGAGCGCCTGTCAGAACATCATGGGATGGCGCCGAGTGGCGTGCAACGTGCGGCGTCAGGTGGCCAGTCTTACCTAAGACGGACCGGCTGTACTGTCTAAAAAGAGCCTCATACTTGGCCAAGGACAGGTTCGGGAACACTGGATCCTCTGGGCGCGAGCTCGACGGGCGCCGCCGGGCCCACATCTCGAGGACCGAGCCGACCCAGTCCCGGCCTGGCGAGTTGAGCACCACGGTGTCGTCGCACTCGCCTGTCTTGGTGGTCTCACCAAGGTCTGAGTTGCCGATAACAACGGCCCAGCGGCCTCGGGCTAGACGCGACGATGATGACGAAGGGCGAACCACTGAGCACCACCGTAGGTCGCAGATCTCTGAGGGTCTCAGGTAGGCGTCCAGCTGGATGGCTAAGGCTACTGCGGCTCCGATGTGCTTGTCTTTCATAAAGACTGTCATGAACAGGAAGAAAACTGACAGCGGCCATGGGTGGCGAGACGAGCCAGGAAATCGGCGGGTCCAGCCTTTCATAGCCTCCCTGGCCATCATGAGGCGGGCAGACTTGGCGATGTCAGAGCGCGGGAAGAAAGTCAGGTAGCCCCAGAGAGCATAGCGGCCCTCAGCGGGGTGTCTTGCATCACTCATCAGCTTGTCAAAATACTTGCACATTAACTGGTCAATTTTGGATTCGGGTGCCTTCCTCGGGTCCTCATCACCTCGCGTGGCCCAGTCGAAGAAGTCACGAACCGCGGTGCCGTACCGTTCCAAGGAGATCGCGGTGACGGAACCAAAACGGGCCACGCCTCCATCAGCAGGGACAGGAGCGCGGGGCCCGAAGTTGAACGTGTGGCCCTTGATGGACTCCACGAACTTAGAGGCGCGGCAGCGACGGCCAGCGACCTTTTGGGCCTCTCTTGGCGCGGGCCGCCTGCTTCCGAGCCGCCTCGAGGTTGGAGTCCTGGCCAAAGACGATGAACGGCCGGAGGTGGTCGTACCGGCTCTCGAGGGCGTTTGGGTCGGCGGCTGCAGAGAGCCCGAGGTCAGGCTCCGCTTGGAGCCGCTGCCGAGCCGGCCTGAGGCGCTCTCGGGCACGCGAAGCTGGCCGCTGCGAAGCATCCCGGAGCTGCGCCTCCAGGTCGCCACCGTCAGCAGCGTCCACGTCGCCGCGGGCGCCGGCAGGCGCGGTCAGAGCGGCCGCCTGAGCCCATGCCTTGCAGAGCCCGCGGGGGTAGGCTCCCGCTCCAGCGGTCCGATTACGTCTGACCCGAGCCCCAGATGGCAACGTAACTGTCTCGAAACCCCTAAGCTCCACGTGCGTGTGGTCTCTGGAGCACTCTGAGCTCAGGGACGACAGGGCAAAGAAATTCGTGAGGATCTTGGTCCGCTTCAAGTGCGGGGCCCCATAGCTGCAGTGCACGAGAAAAATCTGAATCACGTCGGGAAGGTTGGTGAGCTCTCGAACGGGGTCAAAATCCCAGAGCCTCGAGGTCCTCGGGTTCTCAATACTCCAGAAAACTCCATGTCTTGAACACTCGTAGGCAACACGACAGCTGAATAAAGCCAGAGCTACACCAATACGTTCTTTGTGTCGGGCTCTCTCGAGGTTGACCATACCGTGGCGAGCCCTAGACCAAATACAGCAGGGGGTACCCATATGAACATACCAGAACATCCCTTTCCGAACACCCTGTAAGATAACGAGCTGCACCACGGGATCCAGGAGGTCATAGTGGGTCCCGTCCTTGATGTCCATCCCGGGGAAGGTCTTCAGGCCGAGCTCCTTGAAGGCCTCCGAAAGCCCGCCCTCGCCCGAGAACAACTCCAGGAAGCCCTGGCCTCGCTGGGCCCGCCTCAGAAGTTGAGCATGCCCAAGACGCAGAGGGGGTGCGGCGGCTTGGCTGGTCACCGAAGGTGTTGTGGTGGAAG